GATGGGATGCAAATATAAAAAATAATGATAAATATGCAGATAAATAAATAGGTTCTTGAAGATGCATGTATTTTAACATTGATACATGGATTTATTTATGCTTTCCACATAAATATTGAATAACTCTCACAATAGAAGTGATTGTTGGGCTCAGCTATGTGAAAGTATGGGTATGGTCATGAGATAAAGCAATTATGTGGTTGGTGGACAAGATGCCTAGAGCCAGATTTTCAGTGCAGAGCTGGATTAAACCATACTACTTTGTCATCACACTAGCATATTTCATACTATTAAATTCATTTTTAACATATCAACAAGGCTAACCATAATCCTGTAGAAAATGTTGTGGATTAGGTTGGTCATAGTCTTGATTGGATTCACAGCATTTCCTTCTTTTTTTTGGTAATTGTGTAGCTGCTTCATGACAGAATTAACTATCGATATGCTCTGCTACTTCCCAAAGGCGATATGGCTTGGTTTGACCCTCTACGTCCCCAATGATTTAAAAAAAATAATAATGAGAATTTTCCTTTAGAGAAGCTTTTCCCAAACTGTTAGATTGCAACTTCCATCATCCCTGACCAGCATAGCCATGTCTGTCCTAAAACAAGATTTTGGAAATATTCTTTAAAAACTAAAGTTCCCATGAAATCTTCCTAGTCATGTGTATACTTTTAAATGTGCGTTGTTGTTGTTGTTGTTGTTGTTGTGTGCCATCAAGTCATTTCCAACTTATGGTGACTCTAAGGTGAATGTATCACGGCGTTTTCTTGGCAACTTTTATTCAGAAGAGGTTTGTCACTGTATTTCCCTGAGGCTGAGAGATGTGACTTGTTCAAGGTCACCCAGTGGTTTTTGTGGCCAATCAGGGAATCAAACCCTGGTCTCCAGAGTTGTAGGCCAACACTTGAATCATTATGCTGTGCTGGCTTTCTACAAATGTGCTTTACACACATACATATCTCTTTTTGGATAGGGCATAAGGGGCTATTCTCCATATCCCTTTGCTCCGTATACAAAATTGCTCACCCAGTAAGTCCTGGGAGGAGTTGCTGCTAATGATGATGATTACTGGTGAGGAGGGGAAGAGGCAATTCAGATTATGAAGATATGACTAGGGGAGGAAAAGAAGGGTGTACAGCATCTGTAAGTGCACCCTCACTACTGCTCCACCCCAAGCTGAGACTGGCTGCTGTTTCATTGCCTGAATTACCTTCCTATTGTAGCATGATGATCTGCCCATGAAGTCATACTGGTAAGCCGTTTTGGGTCCCAATTTTTGAAGAAAAGCAGGATACAAATTAATATCATCATCATCATCATCATCATCATCAT